TGACCGCTTCTCCGTTAGTTAGACGCGAGAATACGGCCAAAACTTCGTCTCCGCCGTTGCGGCGACGGCCGAGCTTGCCGGCAGCTCTCAAAAAAAAATATCTAACTCGGTAGAGCGGCGGGGTTCTTGTGTCGACGCGCGACCTTCCTTCGCGCGACACGAGAGGAACAGGCGACAGAGTCAGAGGAATCACGAAGGAACGCACATATCGTTTAACATTCCGCTATATTTAACAAAAAAAACAACAAAGAAAGATACTACAAAGACGCTAGGCGGGCTCCGAGTCGCGTAGTCGCGAAATCATTCGGCAGCCGGATCCGTAGACGAGGATCCTTCTGCTTCGCGGAGTTCGAACGGCACGAGGCTCGCGAAATTCTCTCGTTACACGCTAATTATTGCCTTGGGCGCCAGCCGGGTGCATCCCGGCCCTAATTGTCTCGTCGCGAACCGCGTATTTCTCGCCACTCTCGGAGGCCCGCACTTTCTACGAATGATCGCGAGTCGTCATAATTTCTACGCACTCGCTCGCCGTACTGTGCGGTCGCGAACGCGGTGAAGCGGCAGCAGGCAGCGCGGTAAGGACGGCTATTCTCTCGCGAGGTTGGACGGTTCGTCAAGGATGGAGACGAACCCTTCCGGCTGCCGTCGGGAAGCGACGGCAACCATCTCGGTCTTTCGACACTCGGACTGAACGACAGGCAGAAGACAGCTCACTAAAAATCCCTCGCTGGGCTCGCCCCTCGTTCCTCGTCCGATCTCTCGCTGGTCGGCAGCTCGTTCGCTCGCTCTCGGAGTCGTTCGCTCGCTAGGTCGTCGTTCGCTTCAACGCTCGCGTCGCTCGCTGTCCGCACAGTGTCGAATCTTTCCGCGAGCGCGAGGCTCCTTAGCTCGCGGTATCAGCCGCCGATCGCCGCTAGGTCCCATTGGTCCTGCGGGAACGCACGGCTCTAGCGCGGGCGCCTTACAGGGCCCGCGCGACACCGCCGAATTCTCTGATTCCGTGTCGACGGAATCCTGCGCCTGACGGCAGCTCTAACTGGCGTGGGCGCTCAGGTGGCTGCCAGAAGCTTGAGGTATCCCAGGACGTCCCCCGGGATCTGGTCCTTAAGGTTAGCCCTTCCTGGCGCCCCGCTGCAAGCTAGTCGGGGCCCCATCGCTTGTGATAGCGAGGGGTGGATCCTGCCCCGTTTGGCTTGTCGTCCGCTGCAGGTCCGCCGTCGCCTCGCTCCGATCGCTGCACTTCGTCGTTCTCGTCGCGGCCCGAGCACACAATTAAACAAACGAAAATAACAAAAAATTATAATAACG